AGCAGTTTTACTGTATTGGTTACTTTTTTTACTAGTACACAGTAATTTGGAATAGCCTAGATGGCTTTTAATATTTCTTGTTAGGTTGTGCAGGGCTTAACCTTAGCACTAGCCCGGTGGACTAGTAAAAAGTAGGCAGTGGCACACAGGGCATGCAGCACTGTGCCATTGCACGCCAGTGTTTTGATTAATCATGTGTTAAATTCAATTTTGGGGGCTAGTAAAACTTTCTGCGGGCTAGTAAAAAACTCAATTTATTAGCCCGGTGGGCAAGTTAACCCACAAGCGACAGTATATTTTGAAGCCGAAAATAATAGTTTCCCGGCAGCTTCAAAATCGGCGCGCAGGGCTGGCCTGGAATCTGTCCGCGGGTCAGCTGGGGCCCGCAACAGAATTGGAGTGCAAGCTCTGATCCGGCATCACACCAGCAATACACCCAGTAATTTTTTTTCCCCCCCGGGTGTCTCAAATGTGGGACACCCTTCGTAAATGGGTTGAAAAAAAACTTGAGCGCAAGGCTTGTTGTACTATATTGTAAATACCCAGTATGAATATAAATATGCAGAAAAGCATCTAACAACTTGAGAAATGTTTGCTGTTTTCTCAGTTTGTGTTACAATAGAGGTTGTGTCATGTAGTCCATAACCATTAGAAAAGAAGACTCAGTTACCCATTTTTAGACCCAACATGAGATGTCACACTTGGTTCAGTTCATGTTGAGAGTCAAAATAATGAGATGGGTATTAAAAAATGATGGTAAATTTGCATTAGACAAGTGCTGATATTACATTATTATTGTTTAAGGTGTTATTATGAGAACAAATGGAAGAAAAATGAAAATAGAATTGTTGAATATAATATACATATGGGTTAAGACAGCTTTAGATAAGGTGTATTTATCTCAGTATGAATTTACTAGGGGTATACAGATAACAATAATCTGGATTTGCACCATTGCACCAGGCTTGGACTTTGCTGAAAAGGGATAAGGAACAGTTCTTCAGGAATCTTGCCAAGGAGGTAGAAAGCCATTTCTAGCTTTATCCTGCCTACCAAGACCTTAGAAAACTGAACTCCAATCCCTCCTCATGGATGTCTGCGGTTTGCTCAGTGGATGTGGACGGATCATCTCAGATCTTGTTGGGGTTCAGAAATGTAGGGTTGAGTATTTTGAACAATTGTATCAGGTAATCCCTCCAGTATTTAGTTTAGATGCAAGTGAGTCAGTGAAGATTCCCCCTACCCTGAATGAGGTGAGGGCGGTGATCGTTAAGCTGAAGGATGGGAATCCTGTAGACATATGCAATATCCCTACTGAACTGCTAAAGGCTGGGGGTGAGCCTATGGCACGGGGCTTGCATGCTGTCCTGGGTGCCATCTGGCATTCAGATTCCATTCCCCCAAACCTGTTGAGGGGCATGGTCATCCCTCTCTGGAAGGGGAAAGGGAATCATTGGGATTGTAGCAACGACTGTTGTATAACATTGCTCAGTATACCAGGCAAGATTTTTGCCCACATTCTTCTGAAATCGATCCGCAACCACCTGCTAAGGCACCAAAGACCGGAGCAATCTGGATTCACTCCTGGGAAGTCCACAGTAGACCGTGTACTAGAGAGTCATTGTAGAATGTCATCGTTTGTTCATTTGTGACCTGCTTGCAGCCTACATGGACCTCAAGAAGGCAATTTGATTTGGTGCATCATGAATCAATATGCGAGTTCCTGAGACTTTTGGGAATTCTAACATGGATTATTGGATTAACAGCAAGCCTATATACTGGTACTGAAAGTGCTGCAAAGTGTGGTGGGGCCAGTCAAGCTTCTTCCCTATTAACTCAGGAGTGAGGCAAGGCTGTGTCCTTCCACCAACACTTTTCAGCACTTGCATATCCAAAGTCAGTTTGGAGCAACACTGGACAATATCAAGGTCATAGACCTTAATTTTGCTGACAATGTTGAGATTCTATTTGAGTCTCTAGAATCTCAGGTAGCAGTTTTTGATGTATTCAGCAATGAGGTGAACCTCCGGGGCTTACAGGTCCTGGACCAAGATCCAGGATTTTTGGGGCCTGCTAGGAGAACCCAGTCAGTCAATATGTGCTTACGGTAAGGACATTGAAGTCACACACCTTGGTAGTACAGTCCATGTCTCTAGGCTGTCAGACCAGGAAGTCAGCAACTTCGTGTCCAACCGATGACTACACCATGAGACTGGCATGGGACCTGTTACTTGCATAATCCAACTAAACGGACACTTAGCTCATTTCCCTGTGGATGGCCCTGCCCATCAGGTTGTCTCTTTACAAGACAATCCTGTATGGAGGAGGCCTATGGGAAGACCTAGGAAGTTGTGGTTTGGGCAGCTCCACCAGACCTGTTCTGAAGTACATGGGCCGTTGGCCTGCCTGGCAACTCGTCTTGAGGGACCCATGTGGCCGGAAGCAAAGGGTGGATGCAGCTATGCGTCTTGTCGGCATTACCTCTTTGATAATGATGATA